TTTTTTTATGAATCGAAAAAAAAAAATGTAATTAGGGCGCTTTTGATCATGTCTTTTATGTTGAATTATGGATGGCCGCTTTAACTGGATTGGCAGAAGAATATAACGATTACCCAGGTCCAGGAGGTCATTCTCTTTTATGGAAAAGTTTTGTGCTGGTCAAGGTATTATAATTTGCTGTTTAATCATTTTTTGATCATTTAAATATTTAAATATTAATCTAATAATTTATATTAGCTTCCTGCATTAATCGAAAAGCTGGAAGCAAGAAAATCATTAAAATTTGGTGAAAATGAAGAGATTAAGGTATCTTTCTAATTTAATAAAAATTCGGATCTAACAATATAATGTACGATTGACATTAATTTATTAATTCGTTATAGTTTGGGCGTAATGAATGTGTCTTTAATCAATTGTCTGGGTTTCGAGGATTATTTAATGCATGTAATCAGAAAGTGGAGGAAATAATTGAAGATATTTTTCAGTGAGTTTTTTTATTCATCTTATGTTAACGTTGATCCATTGATTTTAATAAACAACAAAATAACATACGCGTTATTTTTAATTCTCTAGGGTTCCTGATATATCAGCTGATATCTTGAAAGCGTGCTTTAAGAGGAATCTTGTAAGACGAGAATTTGTATTACGAATATTGGAACTCGAATGGAGTGGATTTGATTCAATGGTATCTTGGAGAGAAACCCTTCAATGTCGTTTGAAAGTTTGCAAATATTGACCTATGATATATATCACTAGGAAACCGATTCTTATGCTGGTAGCATCCTAAATGATCCTAATAGCGAGATGATAGAAAACTTTGTGTCCACGGTTCCTATGCATTTTTTAGATCAGGAATCAAGAATAGAAACGATATTAAGGGTAACTACTCATACTGTATACTTAATGTCAATAAATATTTGAAGCATTCTACTTTATTATTCATATTTACCTATTAAGCTAATAACAGAGTGGTGTAATAAGCGAGAGTTACGACATTTGTCAATATTATGTCGTCTTCTTTGCGAAACTTCTGCTCTTCTTGATATTATTCATCTATATCGTCATCCTTCTGAAATTTTACAACCTTTGGAACAATTATGTAATACATGGGAAAGATCTGATGATGATGACTTTGGTAATATTTCATCATATAGTAAACGTTTA